CTGATGAGGGTTTGTAGGTCTGTCACAAATGTATATTCATGTACTCCTGCCAGAAGAATGAGGTGGTTGACTTAGGTGTATGAAATGAATTTCCCCTGCTTACTAATGGGAGTACCTTCAGATACTGATGGCAAATGTCTTTAAAGCAAGACTTGTTTCTGTGATTACAGTGGCCACGATTTTCCTCACTTTGGATTGGGAGAATGTTAATTAATTAATCCTTAATCTGCTGCTCTCTGGAAATTTCAGGGATCAAAGCTACTTGTCAACCTGCTGTGGATTTCCAAACTGGATTTTGGATTTTCTTCCACAGATCAGAGGGCAATTTATGTAAATTCTCACACATAACATGGTTGCCATGAACAGATGGGGAGGGGAGGAGAAGGGGAATCTGATCACCTCTCTTGTGGCAGTAGGCAGTTTGGCCTGTGGTAACAAAGCCTCTGGAACAAAGGGTTCTCTGTGCTCCGCATCTGGTAGGCACATAGCCAAAAACACTCTAGCAGTAATGGTCATTCAGGTCTTCTGGGGTTCATCTGATATTTGCCAGGTGCCTCTGTGAGAGTGGGCAAGGACACCTGGACAGGCCGTTCTGCTCTCCTGTGGCATGGAGCAGGTTCTGTCCCCTTGGCCAAGTCTCATTCCCAGAGTTCTGAGAGCGGGTCAGCAGAGCAGGGTAAGAAGGGCACAGCACACCTGTTCCCTGGAGCCAGGCTTTCTGGCCATGCATCTTCCCCCCTGGAATTGGCCTGTCCTGTTTGTGCAGCTGGGAGAACCTCCCAAGGTTGTTGATGCTGTCTGTCTCTTGACAGGATGGCTGAGTGGTTTCTAGATAGTTTGGTTTCTATTTCCATATGGAAGCTGTCTCAACAGTTACTATTTTTCTGCCTGACTTTACTACAAATACATTGCTGTGATTCCTTCTAGGACGAGCTCAGACATTTTATTTGCAGTTTAGGTGGAAGGTCCATCTCCACAAGCTCTTTGCTTGTGTATTTACAACTTTCAGAATCTACCTTTGTGAAAGTGCATCCAGTGTTTCCTATTAAACTGGTATTGGAAATTATTATTTTTTTAAATCTGCGTGAGGATGTCATTGGACTCCCCCATAGCAGATAACTAGGAATGAAACAGGAAAATGGAAAGATTTTAAAGTGGGACTAAACCTCTGAAAACCCTCAGGGTATTTTGGCTGAGGCTGAATGGATCATTTGTGATTATGGCACTTTTAAGTGAGAGGTGCTGAAGTTTCAGTCGTGGTATCCTCATCTCAGAAAATGCTTTTTCAGACAGACTTATTTGGAGTTACTTGGGTCTAGTACTACTTCTGGAATTGCACTGGGACTGTGTGAAAAGGAACTGTTGAGGATGCTCTTTTAAAGCATTTCTTAGGGGGACTTACCCTCTGGGGAAGGGACTTTCTTTGAGTGAACTCTGTTCACGCTTCCAAGTGGCTTCAGTTTTTTAGCACCTGGCAGGACAAAACTTGCTCCTCTTTCCTCCTGCCTGTCCAGGAAAGGCATGGGAACACTTAGGACCTAGAGAAGAGAGAGCCAAGAGCACCAAGGCATCCTGTCCTGATTCCTCAAGCTCAAGGTGCCAGGGTCCCAGGGGTGATTTTTAGTCAGTTGTTGAGAATCCAGTGGCAAGCTCACTTTGGATCTTGGCTTCAGGGGGAGGTCATGCTCTGCTTCTGAGGACAGGGGAATCCAGGCTGCTGAATGGCTTTGGTATGAAGGTTTGTACATAACCCTCAGGCCACAAGCCTGAGTGTGTCTCAGATTTGCCACCACTTCAGGTCTTTAAATTAGGATAGATGCTTTTGAAAAATACATTTTAACCCAGATAGAAAGTATGCAAAAAAGTCACTCGTCTTTTTTTGCTTCTTGTTTAGGCGAGGCATAGGAACACTTAGGACCTAGGAAGCAGGGTGCACCAATCATCCTATCTTGATTCCTCTAGCTCAAGGCACCAGGTTCCTGGGGGTGATCATTTACGTGGGCATGTCGTGACACGACAAGGGAGAACGGCTTAAAACTGGGAGAGAAGGTTTATACTGGATCTTAGGATAAAGTTCTCTGTGAAGCTGGCGAAGCACAGTTTGCCCAGAGAACCTGTGGCTGCCCCATCTAGGGGTAGGTTCAAGGCCGGGTCGGACGGCCAACCTGGTGGAAGGTGGAGGTGATGAATCCCTCGGGAATGCCGATTCGCCTGTGCTGGGGTGCCGGAGGCCCCCGTTGGGTGCTCTCCCGCAGCCCATCACAGGCCGCGGGCACGGAGCGCTGCGGGGCGGCTTTGTGAGCCGCTAATCCGGGCCCCAGCTGCCATGGCGGCCGCGTTGCCATCGCGACGGCCCCGCCGGCGGCCGCCTTTGTTGGGGCCCGGCGCGGCCCAGCCGGGAAAGGCCCAACGCGGCGGCGGGCGGGGAGGGAAGAGCGGGGGTGGGGGCGGTTGCTGTGCTTCACCACCACAATAGCTGCCCGGTTATGGCTGGTGGTGCTTGGAGAGTCAGTGCGGGTACAACTCCCGTGGGTGCTGGATGTGGTGCCTCAGTGTGCCCAAGTAATGTAAGGTGTCCCCTGTAGCAAGGGTTAGGGGGGATCTGGGCCTTGCTTCAGGTGTGTGCTGAGACCACCTAACTCTGCTCGCAGGCTGCCTTGAAAGGAGACATAAAGATGGTCATGTGTTAGTCTTAATGGCAATAAAATACATCAGTTATAGCCACAGACAGAGTTGAAGCCCTGGAGTTGTGTGCATATACATACATATATATATATATATATATGCATACTAATGTACAGTATAATATTTAGATTTTAGCGGGAAACAGCTATCAAATAGAGTACATGTGCTACAATAAATATGTTTTTGCAAGGCAAGTACACTTTGGGTTTCTGGGTAGACACCTCAAAGCAGAGCCATTGGTAAAAGCACAGAAGAAGGAAGGCTGCAGCTCGCACAGCATACACTATGGTTTGGGATGAAGCAGTTGCACATCTTCTGTCTCTGAGTGCCTGAGCACTGTGGCAGTGCCCAGCTATTGCCTGGGATATTGCTGTGCCAGGAGTTTGTGTGGAAGTGCAGTGGGCTCTGCCACTTGCAGTTGTTCCTGCTTCCCAGGCTCTGCAGAGAGGAGGGTTGGTCAGGCAGAGTAAGTCAACAGTGGGCCTGTGCTCATTGACACTAGTTTTTTTTTGTTTGTTTGTTTTTTTCTTGTGCCCATCTCTCATTGTGATGGGTTTGTGGTCTCCAGCTACCTGAGCTGGGAGTGGCACTGCCTCAGAGTGCCTTTGAGCTTTCTCCCAGTGTTTACTGGGGAGGAGAACAGCTATTTCTTCAGCCTTCTTGTGAACTGGATGGGGGAATGAATCTAGATTTGAAAATGAGCAAAACCAGGTAATAAAACCTGTTGAACTATTTTTAAGCCACATCAGCTTTCCCTCCAGTACATCACAGTAGTGCTGTACCATGAAGGGAAATGGTGCATATGTGAGGATGTGGCAATGGGGAATGACAGCGTGAGGAGCTGCCCTCAGCACCCATCTCCCTAATTGTGTGTTCTGGGAAGCTGCTGAGGAGTTGCTTCGGGTCTGTCAAGGCTTATGTCCCCTGTGGCTCCAGGCTGGATGCTTGGCATGTTTCTCAGGTGTTTGTTTACTTGGCTGAGGGAGACTGAGCCAGGACGTGAGATGTGAGGATGAGCCAGGATGTGTGTGAGATGAGCAGGAGCCAGGTTGTCTGTTGTCACCTGGAGAGGATGTGTTAGACAAGGCCAAGGGCGTCAAATATGATCTCTGTCTGCTTATGATGGTACTGGAAATGTCAGCAAGGGCTCCTTCCATCCACCTGGCCCTGAGGTGGAGCTGGGTGTCCTGTGTTGTCCTGGGCACCTGAGAGTAGGACCCTTTCCTGTGGGGTCTCCATGGCCAAAGCCCGTGGCTGCCTGTGCCAGGGCACGGGCAGCACTTTGCCCTGTCCAGTGACTGTTCAGGAGGAGGCAGCAATGCAGCTTCTTCCTGGGGCGAGGCAAGGGAGTAATCCTGTAGAGTTGGGGGCATACAGGGCCTGCTGCTCGGGGTGCGGCTATCTCACATGGAGAAGGAGGAGGGCCAGGGCAGCTGCTGGCCGGAGACTGCTGCCACCTCCCCTGAGCACTTGCACGTCCAGTTTCATAATCGGATTAAGGCAGTGGTATTAGAGGAGGGATGGGTCAGTGGGACAGGTTTACACCGGGGCTTACACGGAGGGGATTGGAGTGTATTTTTTAACCCTGCTCGGGCTGACCTGTGGAGCGGATGCGGCTCCGCAAGGCAAAACCCGCGGGAAGATGGGGGGAAAAGTGGGACCAGGCGGAGATGTGCCGGGGAGGAGAGCAGCCCCAGGCCGGCTGGGGGATGGGATCCGGCCGCCCCTCCCCCCGGGAAGGCAGCCCTGCTCAGGCCTTGCAGTAAATTTGCTCTAATTACAGCCTCCAGCAGTGGGAAACCTCACTTAGAGGAAAGGCTCCTCTGGGGTGGGGGTGGGGGCGCTTCCCAGCTTTCCCAGGCAGGCTCTGTTGTCTGAGGCCTCCGCTTCCCCTGCCGCTGGGAGGCCCCTTATTCCTCTCCCCTCTCCAGCTTTGCTTCTCTGCCCCCCTTTGATTCTCCTCTCCTTTGAGGCCGGGATTTGGGAACAATGCCCTCCCTGCTCCTTGGCCCCCGGCTGGAGCCGCAGGCAAACAATCGGGGTCGCTTGCTACCAGGGGCTGGGCCGAGAGGGCTCAGCTCAGCAGCACCTGCCCCGGGCTGGTGGGGGAACCAGGACCATGCTGACTGTGGCTTGGGGAAGTGCCTGGTGTGGTAACTTATGTATAGTGCATATGTGTGCATACCCTTCTTGCGTGACAGGATGTTTCATCTTGATCCCCTCAGGTTTGGGGAGGCCAGGGAAGCTCTGAACAATTGTGCTGGAGGATGCTCGTTGCAGCAGTAATAATCTGACTGCAGCCATTCTCTTTGCAGGTGGATGATGCGATGCTGATGTTTGACAAGACAACCAACCGACACCGAGGTGAGAGCTGTCTTCTGGCCCTGGGAGAGGTTACTGCAGAGGGTTTGCCTCCTGCCTTGCCTAGGGATGGGTTGGTATCCCAGCAGCAGGGGACGCGGGTCGCAGCTGCTCTTTATCTTGCCTCCAGTCGCCCCATTCTTTTGGATCTGCATCCTTTACCAGTGGCCCTCTCAGCACAGAGAGCTTTTGTCCAGTGCGTTTCCTGTGCTGTAAACTCGTCGAGTTGCAGATATGTGAGAGGAGACGGCCCCCTCCTCTGCTCACCTCCGTGGCTCCAGCCCGCAGTGTGTGTCTTACCTTGTCCCGAGTAATCTGAGCTCTGGGAAAGCTGACACGAGAGCCTGAAGAGTGCCTGCTTCTCGCCCCTTCCTCGGCCTGGAGCCCACTTGTGCTCCCAGGTCACCTTTTCTTACCCGAGTCCTGCTGGTGGAGTCTGGTTACAGGATGGGAGCAAGGCTGTACTATTTGTGCTATAGGGACCCAGCCCATCCATGGGCGTCCCTGCCTTCCTGGTGAGTCCTCAGACTGACTACCTGGTGGTGTGGAGGGGCTTGACTCTTGCGTTCAACTTGGAGATTTAATGGCAGCAACTTGACCTGCAAACTTAGCTTCAGCCTCTTCCCAGTCAGGGTCAGTAACAGCCCAGTGCTGGCTGCTTTCCTGTGTGTTGTTTGAAGCACTTCCAAGCACTCCTGCCCCCAGAGCAGCAAGGGAACTCTCCCTTCTGCTCTTGCTACACTCTGTGCCCTTCAAATTTTTACTTTTTTCTAAAGCCATTAAATTTACTCTGATTGCCAGGCCTCGGCAGTCCTAGGATGCTGTTCCAGCTTCATTTTGAAAGGGAAGAAGCATTAACCCCTGTTCCTCCATGGGTGCCTTCCAGTCACTGGTCCAATTAGAGCTGTTGGGCATTTTGGGAGGCAGCAGGGAGAGCTGCCAGCCACTGTGTCAACAGCAAGTGGCTCAGCCCAGGGCATAGGAGGCCTTATAGGGGTTTAATGGGGCTCAACATTGCTTTTGACATCAGGGTTTTTCTGCTGAATTACTGAGCTCCTGTGCTTGAGAGTGTTGAGGTGAGTGATGTGAATCTACCTGGGCACAGACAGATGGAGGAGTTTATAGTGAGATGTTTCTGGCAGTGTGGAGAAGAGGTGGGGTTCTAGGCAGTGGATTCCCATCTGCTTTTGAATGTTATTTTACAGTGCCATGGAATTGGCCAGCTCTGGAAAGCAGAAAGTTCTGCTTAATCCCAGCTTGCTTGCACAGCAAGCTTTAAGACATCCTCCCACCTGCCTCAGTTCTCCGGAAACGGTTGCAGTCAGCTTAGAGGAGTTCAGTCTACCCACCCGAGCTGGGCTTTGCCAAAACTGTCAGCAAAGGGGTTGGTGTGAGAAAGGAGGTGTGAGTGTGGGCCAGGGGCCAGGAACACGCTGTCCTGTCTTACCCAGATACAAACCTTACTTTGGTGAAACTTTGCAAATGACTGTGCCTGTATCTGCCTCGCTGTGTGCAGCTGCACTGCTGATCTGTGCCTGCTCACACGAGGCTTTATGGCCAGTGCCTGCGAGGGAGGGAGCTGCAGGGTGTTCCTGCTGGTGGGATGCGTTTAGCGAGGGTGGTGATGTCCTGGCAAACAGCTGTTGGTTTCCCCACCGATTCTTTGTGTGAGCATCTGCCCAGATCCTCCCCAGTGTTACCAGCCATGTGGTTTGCCTTGCAAATAGCAAAGTTTAAAAAAAACAACAAACCTGGGTTTGAGACCAGTTGGGTTCAGAGTGGGTGGGAAGTACAGGATGAGTAGGAGAGGAGAATCTATAAGAGGACAGTCCTCTTCTTGTGCATAAAAGTAGAATTTGCTGGAGAGAGAAGATGAGTGACAGCTATTTTCGAAAGGGCTGATTGTACTGTGCTTTTCTCCTGCCAATAAAAGGCTGTGAGTAGAGGGTTCAAACTGTGAGAGGTCTGACCTGATCAGGGAGTTTTGCTTTTTCTTCAGGATTTGGGTTTGTCACATTTGAAAGTGAAGACATTGTGGAAAAAGTGTGTGAAATCCACTTCCATGAGATCAACAACAAAATGGTAAGTGTCTGGGGCAGAACATGAGGGAGCAGGGACAGAGTTGTGGGAGAGAGCAGGGCAGTGGCACAGGGGCAGGATGCAAGGCTCTTGGGTCCATGCATCTTCTTTGCAGTGGGGAATCAGATTCAGGTTTTTTTTCCCAAAAATCACAGCAGTCAATCTGGGGAAGAAACTCACTGTATGGAGGTGAACAAGCATAATACTGAGTTCTGAAGGAGAGCTAACTAAGCAAGGCATTGTGCTGTGCTTGGAGGTTTTGAAGTTACACAAAACCTTGTAGTGGCCTGGGAGGGGGCAGGTTTTACCTTTATTCAGAAATGAGGAAAATTAGGCTTTGGGGCTCTGGTGCAGGGTCAGGTAGAGCATCAAGGGCAACACCAGGAGGAGAAAAGCAATGTTTGTGCTCCCCGTTGCCTGTGGTGGCTGCAGAGCAAGAGGGAAGGCAGGCACCACGGGGGCTGGGGACAGCGGTGCTGGGGAAGGGCAGCGGAGCGGGCTGACGGAGGTGGCTGGAGCTGGGACGTGCTGTCACGCAGGCAGCCCTGCCTGGCCTGCCTGTGCTCTGTGGCCGTGTCCTGTGACGACAGCTTGTGATCCAGCCTGTGACAGGCGAGCCTGATCCTTACTTTCTTGTGGCAGGTGGAGTGTAAAAAAGCTCAGCCGAAGGAGGTGATGTCCCCAACGGGCTCTGCACGAGGGCGATCCCGAGTAATGCCTTACGGGATGGATGCCTTCATGCTGGGGATCGGCATGCTGGGTAAGCCCCCGGCAGCTCTGCCGCTCTCCCCCCGCTCCCGGCCGTGCCAGGCAGCAGCTTAGAGGTTTATTCCGGGAGCGGCGAGGCGGCCAAGGGCAGCGCTCCCCGTGCGGGGCCGCCAAGGGCAGCGCTCCCTGTGCGGGGCCGCCGGGACCTGTTCGCGATCCCAACTTGCCCTCTGGTGGCACCTGGAAAAACTGCAAATGTGCCACCGCTGCCCTGCGACAGCCGGGCCGGCTGGGCACAGCCCCTGCGGGGCGGTTCTGCCCCTCGGCAGCTCCTCCACGGTCCCGCAGTGCCGTGGCACATGCACAGCAATTCCTTCATGTGGAATAGGATAACTGCAGAGCTGAGTGTGGAGTAATCTGTACCCAGGCATCTTCCCCCCTCCACTTCTACAGGCTTTCTGATTAATTAGTTCATTAAAGAGCCCCTAAGCTTCCACTTGAAACAGTGGTTTGTGTAAATGTCCCCACTGCCACTTAAAGACTGTTAAAATGCCCTTGAAGTTCTAGTTGAGTATTGTCTCACTCTGTTCCCTCCCTCTCAGGTACAGCAAATATCTGGTATTGCAGGGAAAGCTATATATTTTTCACGGGACTGTCTTGTAAGGAGAAGTTGGTGACAAGCAGGCTGTGTTTCACGTCTACCGATGCTCCCAAGGCAAAAGCATTCAGATAAAAATTGAAACAAAAACCAAAAAAAAGTCATTTGTAGCCCTATCTTCCAAGTCCACAAAACCTCATGCCTAGATCTGAGAAGTCAGCATGATCATTCCAGTGTGGGTGCTGGTCCTGGCTTCTCTCTCTTCTCACTTTCATTGGAGCCAGGACTGAGCTGACTGAAGAGCACTGTTTGCTCAGGATCATTGCTGGTGTTGCTGGGCAAGGTGTACTCAGCCTGGCTCTCAGTGCTAAGCCTGCTGAGTAGCAGTCAGTCACTGAACAAAACCCCCAAAAGGGCATTTTTCCACCAATGTTTTCACTTGACTTATTGAAGGAAAATAAATCTCCAGCCTGTGGTTTTGGGTTTTGCCTTTTCTAAGCCATCTGAATTTTAAAGCAGCAAGACTCAAACTGAGTCACTGGGAAATCCACAGACTCTTGTCTTAGGAGATCTCAAATCAAATATTCATCTGTGAGTCAATGCCCTGCATTCTCACTGGATTGTTCCTGTAGGTGGTCAGCTTCCTGGGGAACAGCGGGAATTGTGCTCCTACCTGTGCCAGGAAGAAATGTTCTTTGTACCTGCATTCACCAGCCCTTCTAGTGCAAAAGTGACTTTGAGCTATTCAGCCTTTCAAACGCCCCTTCCTCCCTGATCTCCTGTTTGTAAATCCAGCTGATGCATCAGAAAGCCTTAGCTTGCAAAGCTGTGAGTCTGAGAAGGAAATCTCCATGTCTTTACGTGTTTGGAGCAAGGAAAAATTAAATGGGCTTGCTAAAACTCCTCTGCAGGCTCACACACGTTGTGCACTCTGCCCGGCGCTGTCCTGGGGCTTCTGCTGCTACCCCTCTTTCTGCTGTCTAATGCCAAAGGGTGCTTATGCTGCTCAGGAGCAGCCAGACCTTGCCAGCTCACAGTAATGGAGTCCTTTTCTCTTCCCCAGGTTATCCAGGCTTCCAAGCTGCTACCTACGCGAGTCGAAGTTACACTGGTATTGCACCTGGTTACACTTACCAGTTCCCTGGTGAGTGGAGCTCTCCCTGCTCTGTTTTTATGTCTGCCTTCAGGTGATGGGAGCCCCTGGCATGATTTATAACCCAGGCTCTGCCCCTTTTACCCTTTCCCCTGTTTGGTCTTTCTTTAAATTTGAGATGGATGTGGAAGGGGGATTGGAGAAGCCCTGGAATAGGTGGGAACAGCTTGTCCTTCATTAGGATTATCCTCACACTGCAGTGGCAGGAAAAGCCCAAGGCTACTCCGACATCCTTTCTGCTGGCCTCCTCCGCAGGGCTGCTGCTGTGACACAGAAGGGCCCCATAGCTCTGCCTGTCTCACTGCCTTTGTGTGTGTCTGTCTCTCTTTACCAGAGTTGCCACCACTCTGAAAGTAGCACAGAATGTTAAATCCCCTGTGCCAGGGAACTCCTGGGCATGCAAAAGGCAGGTGCCTGCAGCACTGCAGTTGTGTTCTGAACAGTGCCTGGACCACTCACAGCCTTCACAAAGCATCTGCTGGGCCAGGGGGCTGCAGATCTCCTGAAAACTGGGTAGTTTCAAGCTTCCAACACTGCCATGTGCTCAGAGCATGGATTCAGCAATCAATGACTGCAACCTGCTGTGCTGCAGCTGCTCAGGGCTGTGGGGCCTCCCCTCCTGCTCTCTGCCAGGCCAGGGACTCTTAAGGGACACACTGTGCTATTGCTGTTTTCTAGAGTTGTGGCAACTCTGAGCATCCCTTCCTTACTCCATCCCTCAGTGTGATGATTGATATGTGAAGTTTTGATATTAAGAGCTGGGAATGGAAAGTTTCCTCTTTGTCTGAGGTGAGCCCAGGCTGACTGGCTGAAAGTTGCTGTTGCCTCCTGGCTGCCTGGAAGCTCTCCATGAATCTAGCTGTAGTGGCTTCAGGTCCCTCATTGTAAACCTGTGCCAGGCAGAGTCTGACACTTACTGAGCACCCACTGGCCTTGCTGCTGAGAGGTCAGATTGGCCGGGTCGAAGAGTGGTGCTCCAGGGCAGACCTGAGGCTACTCAGTGACGCTTGAACTCGCCCTGCCCTGGCCACATTTATTCCAAGGATAAATGGATCCTTTCAGCCTTCAGGGCAGGAGTCCACCACCTTTCAGCACCAGTTATAAATCAGTTTACAGAAGACACTGGCCTGGTCGCAGTCTGGTTGCAGACTGCTCCCCCAGCAGACCCCGGCTGCTGTATCTCTGGGGGTCTCCCTCGGGGCGTTTGATGAGTTCCTAAGCTGTCTTGCATTTCATTTTTAGAGTTCCGTGTAGAGCGGACCCCTCTCCCGAGTGCCCCCGTCCTCCCTGAGCTCACAGGTCAGTCCCACTCATTTCCTAAACTCACAAGCTGGAAGGGGAGAAGGGGGCTTTGGGCTGTTTCAGTGGTGTTGCTGCTCCACAGCCTGGTGAAGTTAGACTGGGAATGTGCCTTATTTCCTCTTTCATCTGAATAAGCTCCATCCAAAGCTGGGGATGGAAAGATGGAGAGGCAATCAGAGCCATCATTGCCTCTGAAGAGGGCCATGCAGGTCCTTTCTTGCTGCTTGCCTCATTTTTTAGCTCCTTGCCCCAGGCAGTATATAAACCAAATATGGAAACTGCAGAGAGCAGGGTGACTTCCACAGGTGAACAAATGGCTTTAACCTGAGATGTTGCAAAGATGAAATTTGGAGTGCTGGGAGGAGGGAGAGGGTGTGAATGCACTCCTGGTTATTCTAATCCCATTTTCCTGGGTAGGAGGGGCTGCAGGGAATGCTTTCCCCACTCTGGGTGGTACAGCTCCCCAGCTACTCCCACACAGGCTTCCCAGGTACTAGTGAGTGTGGCGGGACCTTGCAGGACTTTGGTCCTGCAGTGCTTGTAGGGAGCTGTGGAACAAAATGGGAGCAGAGGAACGTTCTCAGTGTCCTCAAAGTGCAAATGCCCTCTGCATCCTCAGCCCCTGAGATGTGTGCAGTGTGTTCTCCCTACATGATATTCCTTCTGTCTACTCTCCCTTCCATGGCCATGTTTTCCCCAGCTCTGTCCCGTCCATGGTTTTTGTCATAGAAAAGCAGCTTTGTGTAGCACCCTGCTCCCCGTGTGCCATTTCATTTCCATGATGTTCCTCCTTCCCAGTGCTTCCTTGCCCCCACCTGTTTCAGGGTTTGAATCTCTCTGCAAAGGGGTATGGAAAACCTTCCTGAGAAGCTCTTCTGGAATTAGCAGTACAAACAGGCTTGAAAGGGAGTTTCTGTGGCACAAAACTATGTTAATCCTCAGGGACTCTGTTCGTGAGGATGCTGAGGATGGCAGCCACCAACAAACAAATTTCCCTGAGGGAGGTAGGGGAAAACTAAATCCTGTTTCCCTCATAACAAAACCCTTCCCTGACACCATGTATGCAGCTGCATAAGCACCTTTGAGCCTTCTTGTTGGCAAGCAAAGCAGATGTCGGCCCAGTTGTTTATTTACATGTGTGTTTTTCTGCAAAACCCATCACATTTGTAGAGGAATGTTGGTGACTTGGTAGAAGTGTTTTTCCCTTCACATCCACCCCCAGCTGTCTTGTACCTTTTCCTAGCAGAGGTGACTCACCCAGGGCATGGCTGTCACTGGTGGCCAGGGTACCTCAGGGCTCTGCACAGCAAGAAGTTATTAATGCTGCTGTCCTGGCTGGGTGCCACGTTAGCTTACAGTCCTGAGTGTCTCACTGAAGTACCAGCTGGGGATCGTGGCATTCTTCCCTCCCCGATACGCTTACCTCCTGTTAAGCAGGCCCTGTGCAGCCGCTTGGCTGGGCCGTGGTTCCCATGGATAGGCTGGAACTGGCCCCTGTGGAGGGCAGGGCCCAGCGAGCTCGAGGGCCCTTGTGCCTTGGAGTGGCTGCAGCACTCATGGGCTGCGCTTCACGGCTTGGTGAGGGGAGCCAAGAGGAGGGGATGGCACAGGCAGGGATGCACGCACGGGTGCTTTGTCACCACAACACAAACCTGGTGTCTCAGCAGATAAGACTGCAAAGGCAAGAAAGATTTTTCTTGGAAAAAGAACTGGAGCTTTTGAGATTACCTCGCCTCCTTTTCCAGTAAAACCACATTCACTCATGTGTTAGGGACTTGCAGCAGGGATGGGGCAGGAGGGTGGCTGCCAGCAGCCTTTCTTTCCCAGAACAGCATCTTTGGGGGTGATGTGAAGCAGCAACATGCCTGCATTGGCCCAGGGCCTGTAATGAGCAGCTAACCTAGATAGAAGCCTCGTATGACGTTTGCTTGAAACAGGCTGGTGCCTGCTACTAAATATTCCCTCCTAAGCTAGTCTGGGTTTCAGCCTTAACGCGATTGATTTGTTCTGACCTCTTTTTATGGTGCTCTAAACAGAATCACAGTGAATTTCACATTCAAGCATGAAATGCTGACCCAGTCATTTTAAGGGCAAAGAGAAACATACTGGCTGGATGCCTTCTGCCCCGAGGGCTGAATGCCTGTGGCAGTAGAGTTGGGAATAGAACTGCTACATATAAATTAAAACTTACTGTTTTAATTAAGCCATTTTAAGTTCCTGCTCCCTAGGTATATGTTTCCTTTTCTACAATGAACAATGAGGTTTTTAGCAATTCAGGAGCAAAACTCAGTGTGGGGAGAATGGTATGTCTTGAGCAAAGAAACAGGGAGAAAGAGGCTATTAAACTGTTATTCAAGAATATTACCAAGAGACAGAGGAGGGGCTAAGCCTCAGGATGTTAAGCTTCAGCTGCTGTCCCTGAGCTGTTGCGATTCTCCACATTTACTGCCAAAATCTGGATCTGTTGCTTCAGATTAACTGCGTCTTGCAAGCTTAGTAGTGACAGGATACATCTGAAATTGCCCACTTCTCATTCAGCTCTTCCACACCATGTTTTTGGCTGCTCTGGGGTGTGGGCTTGACAGAGCATGGCTCGTGCATTCCCTTGGACATTGGCTGTGCAAAAGAACACTGATAAATTCAGGGCTATGCAATTCCCTGCTGTCATCCTTTAATGTCCTCTGTGATGCACTATAAGCCAATATGTATGTGTGAGCCTAGTATTTTGCAGTAGGGAATGAAGGCTCCCTTCAAGGAGCTTCCCATGTAGCCACAGTGCTCCTGAGATGCCTGTTCCTTCTTTTCCAGCAATCCCCCTCACTGCGTATGGACCAATGGCGGCAGCAGCAGCTGCAGCGGCCGTGGTGCGAGGGACAGGTAACTCCCCTTTCCTCCCCAGCGCGGGCTCCTGTCACGGAAGTTTGACAAGGGGCTGCGGGAGGGGGGTGGGACAGGGTTGCATTTTTGGGATCTTGACTACGTAGTTCTGCTGCCTGCTGTAGGTTCCACCCCCAGTCGCACCGGTGGGTTTCTGGGCACCACTAGTCCCGGGCCGATGGCAGAGCTTTATGGAGCCGCCAACCAGGACTCAGGGGTCAGCAGTTACATCAGCGCTGCCAGTCCAGCCCCGAGCACCGGCTTTGGACACAGCCTAGGGGTGAGTGCTCCCTGTGCCCTCTGTGGAGGGAGGGAGATGGGGAGTGGGCTGTTCTCCACGTGGTGAGGGAGGTGAGCAGCAGTGGGCAGGTCCCTCAGCCCACAGTCTGTTCTCTGGTTATGAAATGCCACCCACTGCAGCATTGGCTGTGCCACTGCTGAGCCCCAGACCAAGATGGACAGTGCAGAGTGCAGTAGCTGACTTGGAGCCCACACCCTTGGTTTCTGCTGGCTCTCCCTAGTCACCACTCAAAGTCCTGATCTCCAGTCCTTTCCCTGATCCTAGCTCAGGCTTTCCAAGAGCCCATCTTGGCCCTGACACAGCATCCTGTAATGTGATGTGCTCTTTAGAGCTGGCACTTCCGACTGAGATCAGTTACTCTGTCATCTGTGCCATGACTGAATTTGTTTTGTTAGTAATTCTTCTTCACCGTTCTTTTGTTTGAAGAATGAGGTTTTAACTCTTTCTTCACAGGGTCCCTTGATTGCAACAGCTTTTACCAATGGGTATCACTGAAGCTGGGGACCAAGAAGGCAGGAGGTAAGAGAGCTTTGAACAGAAAAAGGTAATGGGAGAGACGAGTGAGGTTCTGAGCTGGTCCCTGTGCTCAGACTCTCAGCTGAAGCTGTGGATGTTGCTGTGAGGCTCCATGGCCTGGCCCAGTCTCTGGGAGGAGTCCTGTGGCCAGCCTGGGCTCTCTCCTGCACCAGAGGCTTTGGCAGGTTGGGTTCCTACTGAACACTCCCCAGGCTGGGAACAGAGAGTGTCTTAGTGTCTGGCACAAAGAGGAAGAAAACAAAGCACTCACAAAAAGAGAAAACATCTGTGGGGTTGACCGGAGTCACAACCCAGTGGTGATCTGGACAGACAAGCTTGGCTATTCCGTGTAACTGGTGAAGCCTCCACCATGCAGCTGGTTGTTCTCACTGCTACTGAGACCAGTCCTGGGAAGTGAGGTTTTTCATCTCCTTCCTGGGAGAAGGGCAGAAGGAAAATCTTACCACTTCTGGTTTTGGTCCTTGGATGGGCTGAGAGGGAACTGGTGGGTAGTCTTCGTTTGCTTTGCAAATGTGATTGAAGTTAGCTGGCTTAAATTAAAATAAAAGAAGTCAATAACCAGGTTTTCAAAAAGGAGAGAAAAAACTAGAGGGAACAGAGTCCACAGACAGGAGCCCACAGCAGGCTGGCAGGGCTGTACTGTGGGTGCTGGGGAAATGGCTGGACTCCAGGCCACGTGGTGTGTGGGGTCTTGTTTCCCAGGCCTGCATGTTGCCATTGAAGATGGAAACATCTCTGCTGTGGCCTGTCCCTATGCCAGCAGTGTGCAGAGCAAGACTGTGTTGGGGCAAAGTTTGAGTATTGAGTGTTTCTGTCAGATCACACTGGAAGAAAACCCCAGGAGGAAAAGCTGTGGTTGTTCTAGATCCTGTCCCTTCCCTCCCCTGCTGTGTCCCACAGATTCCCCAGTGACCTAACCGAGGACAGCGAGTGGCTGGAGGATCTGGTGAGCCTCGGGGGATGAGCCAAGGTTACCTTTCTCTTGAATCAAACTGCACACTGCCGGCTGGCTGCCAGGCTCCTGCTGCCCTGCCCGATCTCTCCCTTTGACCAGACCACACTGGACTGAACCCGAGGAGATCATCTCGCTTTCCTACTAACCACCGACGGTTTACGCTTCCCCCTCCCTGCCCCCAGCCCACTGATTCTTCTTTTATTTATTTTATTAGCTGTTAGTTTTATTTTTTTATTTTATTTTTTTATCTTTTTTGGGGGCTGCCCCTTCTTTTTGTTGTTTGCTCTTTCCCGAGCTAGTAGACATATTTTATGAATTGGCTTTGTGATTGTGTTAGGTAGTTTTCATTGAGGAGTATTTTTATTTGGCTTTGAAACTGTTTTGAATATTTTCAACTCTGTTGTTGTCGTCAGTGTTTTTAAAGCACGGTATGTAACAAGAATGCAGTTCTGAAGGGAAGAAAGAGACAGAGAGAGAGCAAAGGCTGAGAGGAACTGCTGTATTTCTATTTTTTTTAAAGAAACTGTTTTTAATTGTTTCTGTTTTGTAAATGTGAGGCTTTGAAAAGTGTGAAACTCCAAGGATCCGAAAACGTTGGACATCGCTATGGAACAAAACAAATGTATATTTTGCTAAGTGAAAAACACTATCCTTACAGCTGAAAGATTTTTTTTTTTTCCTAGGTTTAGTTTTACGTGGGGTTTTCTTTTTCCTCCTGTATAATATGTAAATATCGTGAGCTGAACCTGGCTGCTGCCTGCAGTCTGGCTTCAAGGAGCAGCTCCAGGTCCTGGACTTGGTGCCGCAGCGTGAGCAATACTCTCCAGCAGAATCCTGACAGGACTTCGTTCTTTTTTTGTACACCTTTTACTGTAAGATTTTAAGACCTCTGATGAGATGAGATGAAAGGGGGGTGGGGGGGTGGGTGGGGTGAAATGTACCAGCCATCGGCTGTTTTGCTGAGCGGGTTAAAGCTGCTTCCAATTGCTTGATGTACAGACTCCATCCCTGGGCTCCGTAGCGCCGGCTCTGGGCTGGCTTAGGGAAAGGGCTTTGCCGCCGTTGCTTGTCTTGGTTACTTTGAAAGGAATTCACTCTCCAAACTTTATCGCTTGTGTCAAGATTTCTTGGGAAAGGGGATCCTCCTCCGGAGGCAAGGGTATCGGAAGGGGTGTCAGCCAGGGGGAGATTTGGGTAGTCATTCTCTGAAGGGCAGGGCTCTGGGATGGGGATTCATTAACAGGGGAGAAAAGCATTAGGGTGGTGATTTGGGGGCGGGTTAAGGGCTTCTCAGGGATTATATGAATTATAGAATTGCAGCTTCCCATTTGCTTTACTCTGTGTTCTGAAGACTGTGGGAATTTGTCCATTGTCCTGTGCGGGGTGATCTGGTCCCTTCTCCAGAACCTGCTGGGGCTCCCCCTGGTTTGGTCCAAGCCCCTGCTAACCAGCACTCTGCCAGGGGAGGCCTCCAGCAGGAGTACACGGGGCAGGTTTGGGTCTGGATTTCAGTGAACCAAAGACCTTGTTAAGGGGGGTGATTAAGCCTTTTATTAAGATGCAGCCAAACTCTTTTCCCAGGGAAATAACAGCTTCATCTTAAGTTTTAAAAATCATTCCCTCTCTTCCCCCAAACTGAGCCCCTGTAAAGGAGATGGGTATTTAGAAAAGGACTGGGAGGGCCACAGTGCCCACAGGGCCCTTTTTCTCTTCTATTTCTCCCCCATCTGCTGGAACTTGTCCTGACCTGGGCGATGCGTTTGGAGAGTTCTGTTTAGGTAAGAAGGTACTTAACAGATCAGTACTGAAAACACAAAGCAATAATTTTTGTTACTGAGACAAGAGTCTGTATGTCTGTTTTTTTAAATATTTCCTAATTAAAGAAGAGCTGCATTTTATTGGGTTTATTTTTATTCTATATACTTCAAATTTGGGTCTGCAGACAGCGCTTTCCTCCCTCTTGGTGTATGCGCTGAGCTGCTTCCGTGCCCCCTCCAGACATCCCGGGCCAGCTGTGCTGCTGCTGGGCTGTGAGTCACTCTCTGGCCACTGCCTGGAGGCTGGGGCTCTGGTTTCAGGGTGGGCATTTTTTTAAAAAGAAATAAAGCTGTGTTTTTAAGCCAGTAAGTTATTACACTCCAGTGTTTGTTCTCTCCACACCTGTAACCCTTTTTCCAGATTTCAGTTTTAAATTCCTAATAAATTATTTGAAAACTGTCCTTCTCTGTCTTTATTTTGGGGGTGCAAGGTTTTCCAGTGGGGGAGATTTCAGGACCTGGCAGGAGTTGCATCCTGCCTTAAGGATAAAAGCCCCAGACAGGTCTCTGACTCGCTCGCTGTTCTGCTCCCACACTTTGGCAGTGGCCCAGTTTATAATGTGAGGCAGATCTAGTTTTAGTAGAGATTGTGTCACTTCTCTACATTACAGAGGTTTTGTGTAAGTATTTGTAGGTTCAGAAAAGGAGATAATGTGGTGCTTACAGGTTTGGCTCATACTCTGAATTCAATTGACTGTGGTGAACCAAGGAAGCTAGATGTAAAGAAGTAAACTGTGGAGACGGAAATAAAGTCCTTAACAGACAAAAGAGAGAAAGGAGAATTTTAACAGTGTGGAATAGTAGGGAACTCTGCAATGGGGCTTATAAAAAAGTCTTAAAAATAATTTAAGGCTTAAACATTGGTGGAAAAATCTTTACCCTGCTGGGATTTTTCTCATGAGGCACCCTTGTAATACTCATGTGCTTGCTTTCCCATACTTGGTGATCCTTTTGTTGACCTAAAAATGTAGGAAATTGTTGATTTATGATTTTTAAATGGGCAGTTGACTGGAAATTTTCTAGGAAACATCAATAATACATCAAGTACTGGGAAAAGAGGAAAAAGGAATCAGAATCCTAAGTTTCATAGATAAGATTTTTAAATTTTTTTTTTAAATGGTAAAAGCAGAGAGGACAGGGAACTCTTAAGTGGATATTGGAGGGAAAGTCAGCAGATTGATCTGTGGGCAAAGGACAAAGTATTTTTTTCTGAACTAGCTGTGATACAGACTGTCCTTTACATCAGCCTTTAATGTTTGTTCAATACTCAGAACACAGAGAATCTTAAATCTGCTACTCAGCATCTGCTTGGCTGTAGGTTACCTGTGAGTGGGCAGCCCCAGAATGGGAGTGCTAGAAGAGAACAGAAAAGTCAGAATGGATCTGGTTGTTCAGCACCATGTCTAGCCTTTACCTAGATGTCCTCTATGGATATGCCAACATCCAGTGGGTGCTGTGGGTACCCTGGTATAGTTTGAGACCCTGTGAGGAGGAAAGTGTCCTCATCACCCCTTTTGGAACCTTCTGGTGGGTGGTGAGACCAAAGTTTCCTGTGAGAGCACTCTGCTATTGCAGAATGGTGGCCTTTGCATCCTCCTCTGCTCTTAAAAGCTGAGGGTTTGTTTGGTGCTTTGGAAGTCAATGCAGACTTGACAACCATGTCTAGGGAACCCTATCTTGAATGTGTAAAAATACCAAACCTGTAGCCCTGAAAATGTCAGAGCTTCAGGGATCTGAGTGCAGTGTTTTTACTTACCCCTGACTAATTCCAGGAAGATTTTTCTTACCTATTTTTTCAACTTCTTTCAAGGTTCCCAACTCTCCTCATCCCTTGACATAGAGAACCAGAGGTTCTTATCTGGGTTCTGCATTGGTGTTGGAGAAAGAGAAACTGCTCTAAGTTACTGAGGTCTGCTGTGTATGTTGAAACTTCTAAGCCCAGTTCATTTCCAGTGTAGATTGCTTAAAGGCACATAAAACCAGACACAACTCCTTGTTTAAGCCACATTCAAAGGTTTTCCAGGTCACTTGGCTCCTGTTTCTTGCCTAGTAGTACCTCCTTCTCCTCTGTGGTTTTAAAGTAAAGAATGGCTTGATTTTTTTTTCAGTTGAGCTCATGCCAAATAGTCATTTGATGTGAGTGGACAACCTGTACCTTATTCTCTGAATTATTCCAGGAGCGCCCATGGAGGATATAGGAGATACAGGAGATACGCCATGGAGATACAGGATTAATGATAAGTGGGATGCCATAAAAAGAGGATGCAAGTATTAGTGGCAGATGGTTATTAGTGTGCCAGAAGCTTCCAATTTAACCACCACACTGCTATTATGTTTTAGTAGAGAGCCCTATCCATATCTTTCAGGCTGACTTCTAATAGTAGCATTACAAGAATTTAATAGCAAAAATCTAGAGAGCAAATATTTGCCTTTCTGGCTTTTATGGATTTAACTCAATTGGCCTTCAACTGGTCACGCCACGACCTGCCGCCCACGGCCCCCGGTGGAAGAAGTCTGCATATAGTAACGTAAATACTGGCTGTTTTATCTCATACCCATGTCAAGGTGAGCCTATTATATAAAGACTCATTTCCCTTAGCACCAGTCTCTTTGTGAGGTGCTGCAAGAATGAAGTTCCTGGCCCTGCTTTTCCTGCTGTCGGGTGTGTAGGTATCCTCATCCTTGCATTGGTAACCCTGAACCTGACTCTGACCACCCTGTGTATCTCTCCCCAGTGGGCGCAGCCAGCACCGAGGTCTCTCCCAGAGCCATGTGGCTGTTCCGCAATATGATCAAGTGCACCCTGCCCAAGAGCCACCCACTGCTGGACTTCGCTGACTACGGCTGCTACTGCGGCTTGGGGGGCAGCGGCACTCCAGTGGATGAGCTCGACAGGTTTGTAAGACTCTGCTTTCACAAACTTCTTTCCTTGCTTGTGCTTTCCTGTTTCAGCTTCATCTCAGCTGCCCCTGCCTATGAACGTTTATGAAACTCCCTGGCTGCTGTGAATGAAGCTTTCTTTCACAGATGGATTCAGGGGAAAAAGGATGTGTGCTATCATACCTTGATGCCTTATTACTAAGATAAAACATAATTACAGCAGCTCTTCTATGGCAGCGCAGTGTGCTCATTCCAGCATTTTTTTTTTGCAGCAGTGCTGGGCCAGCAGCCTGGACGTAGCTCTGCACATTCTGCCAGGTGCTTGACCATCAACATGTACAGGGCTGGGCTGAAAAATGCTAGGAAATGGAATGGGCAATTTAGAAACACACAAATCTGGAAGCCAAGTCTTGGATTGTGTTGGCTGAGAGCTTGTCAGCTACCAGGCACTGAGGGGGAGTGTAGGGTAAACACTGGCTTTTGCTTTCCCTGTGCCCAATAGGCAACTGTGAAGATGCTCCCATAAGTACCTATGTACCCAGATACCTCTTGGACCATGAGCTGGCACAACTATATCCCTTTGAGGTCCTTTGTGTCTGCCCTCTTATTGCTGGGTATCTTTTTTTTTTTTATTGTCAAGAGCCTTGTCAAAGCAAGCAAATCTAGTGTAATTGTGTCTTACAGGTCAGTTGAGCCTGTGATTCTGGTATTTTCTAACCATTTTCTCCTTGTTTCCAGGTGCTGCCAAGTACATGATAAGTGCTACTCACAGGCAATGGAAATGGAATCCTGCAAATTCCTCCTGGACAACCCCTACACTAAGCTGTATCGCTTTAGCTGCTCTGATGGGGAGATCACATGCAGCAGTACGTCCATTTCCACTTCACTCCAGATGCTCTCCAGCCTCTCTTAGGAAGGAGCAGGGCTGTGTTACAGGCACACCTCTGCAACAGGGGGGCACAGTCCAAGTTCTTGCCAGGGGGCCTGGTTGGTAGAAAGAGGGTACCTCACACAGGCACTGGAATGAGTATTCACAATATATTCTTTATATAGCCCATAATTTAAAGTTTATGAAGATGTATGGTATGGCAAGATATAGAGAAGCCTGTCTAGCCTTCAGGGGATTGAGTACTTTTCTGGGAGGCCCTCTAACGGCAGTATCCATTAAATTAAGCAGGTTAACTTGGCATTGTTAGTTTCTGCTGGACACCCCTGATGAATAGTGAAGCCTTTACAGGGCTCTGGAACGGAGGTAGAGAGCAGAGAGGCTGGCAAATAGGGCTGCAGGGATGGGACGAAGAGGCAAGGAGAGAGATGGCTTGGCTGGAGCACACAGCTTTGGGGGCAGTGGACTAGTGGGCAGAAGCCTGTGCACTGCCAGAACGATGCAACAGTGAAATGGGTACACTGTGACAGCAGAAATGCCAGCCGGAGACACTGCAGCGCCTGGCGAAGAAGCTGCGGGCTCTGACCGTTCCTCTCTCTCCTCCAGGCAAGAACAAGGAGTGCGCCATGTTCATCTGCAACTGCGACCGCGCCGCTGCCAAGTGCTTCGCCAAGGCGCCCTACAACCCCGAGCACAAGAAGCTGGACACGGACAAATACTGCTAATAATTGATCTCATGTGCCTCAGGGCCGCCACAGGACCAAATAAACAAATAATCTAAATCGGCACTCCTGGCCGCTGTCAGCGTCGCGCTGAGGGGAAGGGGGAGAAGGGTGGGGCGTGAGGGAGGCCCCGCCCCCTCCGCGCACGGCCCTGTGTGGCGCGTGCGGCGCCCCCGCTTTCGCTGATTGGCCCTTGGAGGCGGCGGGGGTGGGGCGCACCTGCTCGCGGCCTCGCGTGCCCCGCCCCGCCCCTCAGGTACCCGCGGGCTGGGGCTCCTGAGGGCGGGGCTGCGGCTTCTCGCCCTCACCCTCCCGAGGCTCCTCAGGGCGACCGTGCCTGCCCACCCTCATACTATCGAGGTTCCTCAGAGCGACCCTGTCTCCCTTGGTCTCCCCGAGGTTCCTCAGCTCTCCTTAGAGCTCTATTCCCGCCCGCCTTCATCCTCCCGAGACGCCTCAGGGCATCGCTTTCGCCCACCCTCACGGCTGCCCCCACTCTCCTCGGACTCCTGAGGGAGCCCTTCACGCCTTCCCTCAGCTGCCCTCGCCGCGGGCTGCCCACGCCTTAGCTACTGCACAGCTGTCCCTCTTCCCCGGGGCATCGCTGCGTGAGGGTCTTGACCTGTTTGGTGCTCCTTTCTCCTGAGGGTCTCCTGTGTGTTTACCCTGGGGAGCCCTTCCCCTGCCCGGTGCTGTTCCCAGTCAGGAGCTGCAGGGAAGGAGACACTTTCCAGGCAGGACGTGCAGGGAAGGAGGTAATGTTGGCCTGGAAGGCAGGGAGCTCCTCTGAGGGACAGTATCTGCCCCACTTTCCCAGCCCTGCCAAGGTCCTGTGCCAAAGCTGTCCCCCACTCATGGGACCGTTTTGGCTTGCAGAGGTTTTTGGAGGTGTGGGTATACTCACACCGCCCCCTGCTTGCTGGCAGAGCATGTGAAGGGGCCGGGTTCATCATCAGAATGAACTGTACTCAAACATGGAGCAGATCCCCAAGGATCTGAGAGTGCTCTGGGAAACGAGAAACAAATGCAGAAGGAAGAAGCTGGCTTGGTATGTTATTGGAAGGTACTTGCAATGCCTTCCTACTGGAAGTAAATGTATCTCTGAGGGCATTAGAATGATAATGAGAAAGGATAGTGAATTGTATTTAGTTGTTTTTTTTTTTTTCCTTGAAAAGGGGGATTGTGTCACAGCCAGACATTCCATTTTATGGCAGATTGAGTCCTAGTTTTGTACCAGTATTCAGTGCTTATTTTTCCTCAGTGTTTGTGTATGTGAATTTTAAGGAAACACTGCTTGGAGTTCTCCACAGAAATCTTGAGGATCCTGGATGTGATGGTGTCATATGACCAAAATGAATCATTCTTAGGGCTGGAAGAGCAAGATGAGGTGTCTTGTACTCACTAGCTTAGATTCTCTGAAATTACTGTTTGTAGAACAGTAAAGCTCCTAAGTAAATGTTACTAAAATCCCCTTGTGTTAAACCTCATTGTAGAGAAAAAAAAAGTAAAATATCATCACTATCTGGAAGGAACACTGCACTTTCAAGCTGTATTATCACAAGTAGGGAAGATTGCTGGGGTGCATTGGAAACATTTCAGAAATTGTTAGCATGAAATTTACCTGTAACAGGAACTCTAGATTTGAGATGAGCAGTATATCTACTCCTGGCATCCAGCATTTGGAGCTAGCATTCCATAGGTAAACTCCATAGATAGATGAAAGCTCAAATTGATTCCATATCTTACTCTGTACAGATTTTATAAGCCTGCACTTATGTTTGGTCCCTTGATCACACTTCTCATTTCCATGCCACTTTGATGGTGTGAAAGACCTACCATTAAATCCAAACATCCCCCATCCACAGGAAGCCTTCCCACATAATGCAGAGTGTCAGGCTCTAATGAAGGCACAGGTGCGGAGGCTGAAGGGGTTGTGCAAAGCTGCTCATTAGGGCTTTGAGAAACGTTGTGGGAAGAGTAAGAGCAGGGCTACTGACTGCTTGAACTGCCAGCATAGGGGAGTACAAGGAGTGTGTGAAGATCTTCTGCCATGCTGGCCTGTACTTCTGTTCCAAACCAGAAAGGGATTGCCTGGAATGCAAGGTATCCCTGTGCTCAGCAAGGGGGAGCTCTGAGATCCTACACAGCACCACAGCTGGTGCATAGGATGCTGGAGGGAGAGCAGCTCCTCGGGCTCACTGCAGAAGTGAAGTCTCAGTCTCTTATCTTTTCTCTATTCTTGTTTTCTGTGCCAAGATTTTTCATTCTCTGCAGGGAGAGCTGAATTACTCTTAACTACATGGGCATTGCATAGATGAAAAAGAGTGCTCCAGCTGAGGTGAGACATGCAGAGAGCAAACAATTCTGCTGATGGTAATGATCCTGTGTCAGTTTCTCTTAGGGCCTGGAGACCAATTCGAGGCACACTGTGGCTTGTCCTCTTCAGGCTCAGCTTCTTTTTTTCACTGCCATTGTCTAGTTAGTGGTGCAGAAGGGAAGAAGTGCAGAAAGTGGTACTGGGGTATCATTCCTTAGTGGGAAGGGACGTGACAGGGAGCTGCAGACAGACTTGCAGGAACAGTCTGGAACAGTGGTTTTAAAGCCCATCTGGCTTCACTCTGCTGTTTCCCTGCAAAGGCTGGGAAAGTGCAACATTCAAGGCAGTCACAGGGCACTCTCTAGATGGTAGATTTAGTCACCTTCTGAACCTCCCAAGTTCTCCATGCTCAGGGTTTTGGGTCATTTTCCAGAAGTAATGAACAAGCAGGCGTGTCAGTAGGAGCAATCTGACTGTAAGATGTGGGAGGTTGTACTTACACCACAGGCACCAAACCCTCTGGGCCATCTGCATTCTGTGCTGCCCTCACTGGAGCTCAGTATGTGAAATACCTTCCTCAGGCTGCTGGACTCAATTACAGTTTGCTCTGAGAATTTGCCCAAAAACAAAGACAAGATTTGCCAAATAGGAAGTAACTTTTATTTCCTTTGGCTAACTCCAACCCCACTTTCAGAAGAACAGAAGAAAAATCCATTATGAGGTACTATCAGCTCCTCTATCCAAGCTTCAGGAGGAACAGCTGTAAGAAAAAGAGAAGAGCAAAAGCTGTCGATTCAGCTGATTTCATGTCGTGGCTTTTGGTGTAGGGATTTTAGGCTCTCTCAGGCATTTCTCATGTGAGCAAACTTCTTAATGGTATCTTGGGGAACATGTTGAGAAGTGAAGTCTGATCCTGCTCTAAATGTAACCAATTTTAGTACTGCTGGGTCAACTTAGCAGAAAAAAGAAGGAAGTTCTTAATCTCAGCTTCATATAGTTGTTGTAGATATGTTCATTAATATATAGTAATAAACCATGCACAGAAACTTTACTGTAATGTTCATTTATTGTAAGTCATTGTCCTGGTGGCTTAAAAGTATAATCAGCAGAGAGTTGGTGTAATGACTCATCTGAGAGTGATGCTGAAGAGACACCCTGACTCCTCTCCCACAGGCTCAGCTGCAGAACTGGAGAGGAGGCAGGGGTAGATGTGGGAGGTTTAGTTACCTGTCACAAAACTTATTCCAAGACTTGTTCTAGACTGCTTGGCAATGCTCCCCCACCTTCTCAAAATGCTGGCTCTACTGGCAGCCTCTGGTTTTGACACACCAATGTCATGCGAGTTTTAAAGAGGGGGAGAAGATGTGGATAGTGAGAAACTCAGCCCCAACTCCTCTGCTAAGGAGGCATCAGCATCTCTTACAGGGAAAACCCCTACATGAAAACATGGTGTATGTAGAGACTCTGCTGTGTTTTAGGCATGATTTCTGCAATAGCTTTGGTTGGTGGGACAGCTGTACTGTGGACAGGACAGCTAAAGATGGAGAGATATCTGTGAGCTTTGTTCACTGCCAAGCAGCAGACACCTGAGTCATTGGAAAGTGGAGTCACCATTAAATGAGAGCAGAATGCAGGTGGGAGTCCTGAACTGTTCCTGCTTGGCTTCAAAGTGAAGCTGTCTCTCCTCTAACCCAATACAGCCAAATCTTGAAATATGTTGAGCATCTTAAGGCCCTCCACTTTCTGCAAAAATTGGATGCCTTATGTATCACTTAGATTCTGTGCTTTATTTGCTTCTTCCTGGCATGGATTCGAATCGACAACAAAGCAAAAATGAGCTTTGCATCCTGTGGTCAGTTGTCCTTGCTTTGCTACTTGACCTTTTAGCAGATAACTCTGGCATCCTTGTTTCCAACGGTTTGTTACAGTTCTTGTCAAAATATTAGTCCAGGACATGTTACTTGGAGTAGGAGGGGGCACTTGGAAAACCCTGACAATTAAATCCCTCAGAACTACAAGGGAGGAGTGGTAGTTTCATGAAGAACGTCAGGTCAAAAATTCCATGTTCTAGTTTGTACCAGGTTCTGTATTTTACTCTGTAAATGGTTTGATAGGGCTTACAATACCACCATCCTCAGGATCAACAAAAAACCACTACCCAGTAGTGATGGATCTCCTGTTAGGAGTGTGGAAATTGCACCTTTCAACAGAGAGTACTTCCTGAGGGAGACCTATTGTACAGATTTAATTGTATTTCTCTCTTAATTCATCAGCTGCTAGTAATTACAACCTGCATTTTTGCAATGGAAAAACATGAATTGAAACTGGCTACTGAGGTGTACTTAAATCATAGGAGGGAGAGAAAATTTCAATGCAAATAGTCTCGATCTTTTAAACAGTTTTAATTGATTCCTTAGCTATTCATTAATTAAATAACATCTTCAAAAATGCATTCTGGAAAATGTAGTAGCCTCACTGAAAGTAGGGCTGGTCAGATTAGCTTAAAGTAACTCCTCTGGCATCTCAACAATAGTTAATTTTTAAAGGGGTTGGATAGGAAGCAGTTTAGCTGCTGCTGTCAACTGACACTTGAGAGAAATGCTGACTTTCCCTTCTCGCTGGAAGATGTCAGCCTTATAGCCTGTGCTTCCAAATAATCTATTTTGAAGCTTTTTTCTTTTAAGTGACAACTGCAGTTCCTCTTGCTTCCTTTTCCTCTTTGCACACTCTACAGTATCCCACCAGTGACACTGCACCCCCCAGCAGTGTCCTGGTTTCCCACATTGCCCTCCTGTGCTATAGCCTCAAACTACCTGATCAAAATCCCTGTGCCCCCCTTCTACTCTGGGGACAACTCTAAGAACAGTGTTTTGTCCTCAGATGTGGCAGTCCAATTATCCTGTCCCAGTGAATGAAAAGGCACTGTTTACAACGGCAAGGTAAGGCAGAATAGTACTTTTTTTTTATCATCATTCTGTTTCCTGATACGTGGAGATGGTTCCAGTGGAGAGAACTGGTGAGGCTGAGATGTGCGAGGCTTGCTGCCCTCTCCTGGTGCCCTCAGCGGCCATGCACTGCATCTCACAGCTGCCTCTGAGATGAGTCCTGCAGGAGAGGAAGAAAGAAGGTGCATTATTGACTGAATTGATTCTTTTAAACAGCAGTGTTTGATTAGGATCAGCTGGACCAATTAAATCAGGAACAGCTTTTGAATTGTCAGTCGCAAAGGCAATGGTTGTGATCAGGTTCTCTGGAACTACAGGTGATCCCCTGTAGTTTCCTGATAGTAACAAATGGATTGGAATTCTACACTACTGAGTCTTCTGGATACTCCTACCCAATTCTCTGGGAGTGCTAGCACTTAGTATGATTTTTGTTTATGATCATGGGAAGTGGTATAATGGCCAACCAGAGCAGACCAGTTACAGATTAAAATTTACAGCCACCTTTCGGTGCAGTGAGGGAACATTTTGCCAGTCAGCACATCTCAGTCTCAACATTTGCCAGGAACCCATATTCTTACCCTGTAAGGTGACTAACCAGGGAAGGTACTCACCTTGTAAAAATAACTTTAATCCTGATATCTACTGAAGGTCAGCTGGCTGGGTCATGTGCAAACAATCAAAGGCAGCAGCTCTCCACAGCGGGAATTCAACTTTAAGGATGCAAAGTGATCTAACCTGGTGGGCCCAATGTTAAGGACTGCAATTGGCAGCTTCTTCTCCCGGGCAGCGAGAGCAAACCTGTAACCAGAGTACACCTGCAGGAGTACCAGAAGACAAAATTACTGGCAGCTTAGGCAAAAGAAGAGTAACAGAAAGGAATGAAATAGTTGCTGCTGGCAATGGGAAAAGGGCTGTACATACATGCTGTGTTAGGCAGCTGCACTGAGCTCAGGTAGGAAATGTCTTCGTTCAGGAGTGCACAGAATAGAACAGCTTTTAACCACTGTCAGTGAAGGATTTGCAATTTCACAGAAACTGAAACTTCAGAGCAGATTGAAGGGAAATGTCTTTGTCTTTTAGTAAATCTCCATAGCAGTTTTTATTAGTTATCACAAGGAATTAAATGCTGCACTTTGATGATTCTTGCATGGCCCAGCTTAGGTAGTACAAGAACAAACCTAAGGCATTTCAATCATTCCTGTACAGAGGATTATAAGCTTAAGAAGTGCAAACTCAAGGATTGTATCCAGTATCCCGAAGCTAAGAGAATCACAATCAGGCAGCCTTGGTTTTATCTCCTTCTGGGAGTTTTTTTTAATGTAACAGAACTTGTTCCTGGAAGAATTTATCTTATACAAACACCATGCAGAAGTTTCTATGGGTTTAGAAACCCCTGTTGTTTAGCAACCTTACCTTACAGATAAGAGACTAGTGGAGAAAACACATTGTGATACAAAGGACAATCCCAAGCAGCAGAGATATTTCAGCTCTCTTACTGAGACTTTAATAAGGAATGAGAGGTCCTAAAACTTGGTATTTACACAGTGTGCCATGAAGACTAAAAAGCTACCACAGGCTAAAAATTTCAGGTAAAAAAAAAGTGAGGAATTAATTGTGTCAGGTATCTTGTCTTTATAGACAACTGTGACCTGATAGATGAGGCAGCAAAGAGAGGTCTCAATGGAGGTATTTACAGCAGCATGAAGTAGTCTGGCAAGAGAGGGACAAGGAAACCCAAACAGCCAGATTCCATAAAGCCAGATTCCAACCACTGTAAAAATAAAATACAAAGAAGCTCTGCAAAGGCTGACCTGATCCACAAGCCATTTGTAGTCCTAAGCCGTGGGACCAAGGATCATTGCAGGCATAGCAGCAGAGAAGTAAGAATGCAGTTTGGGGGACAGACCTACTTACCTGCATGGAGGATCCTGCTACCAGCATGGAGTCTGATTCTGCCAGGCGCTGGTGTACAAAACTGACTTTTTCCTGGCTCACTGTATCTCCAAAGAACGTCACATCAGGCTTCAGGATTCCACCACACTTACGGCAGGCTGGGACTTGGAAATTGCGCACCTGCTCATCCGTCAGGAAAACATCCCCATCAGGAGCCACGCCAAACGCTTCAGCTTTCCAAGTAGGATTCAGAGCTTCAAAGTGCTCCTGGAGCTCAGAACGCAAGATTCGGTCTCCACAGGCCAAGCAGAAAACCCTGAAATTCAGAGCAAGGTCTTAATGCAGTTTCATGTCAGCTGAAGATCTGGAGACTAAATGATTCCTTAGGAGGCCTGTCATGATTTTCCACATTTATTTACCAAGTAGTACAGGTCAAGGAGATGTCTTTCTACTCTGTTGCTTTATAGGAAGGCTTTAGAGGAAGTGCTTTCAACCCTGCCATGCATCCTCTCCCAGTTCAGGCTGTGCTTTTTCATCTAGAAATTTTGGGTGATGCCAGCCAGGGCGATGGCCCTTCTCCGAGTCCACGCATCCCATGCAATTCTGGCACTATTCACTCTGCTTAAGGTGGATAATCCTTGCATTCTTATGATTCCCCTGTTCTCCTTACTAAGAGGACATTTGCTGTAGCAAGGACAGGGTAAATGGATGCAGGTTTCAAGGAAAGTGATCCAATTAATGCTCCAAAAAAATGGAGTGGTGGTCACGTTTCTTAAATATCATGCTGTGAACAGCACCGGGTTGTGATCTTTTTCTTGATCTTTTTCTCCACCCCAGCCCAATACCACCTGTCATCTCCAGGAATGCAGCATGGATGTTTTGCCTCCTTTCTCAGCAGCTGACAGTGCAGCTGCCTGTCAGTCACCCACTGACAACAGCCCTGTGCCAGAAGCTCTACCTGTGTGTGCAGCCGTGCAGCTCCGTCATGCGCTGGCTCCCGGCCTTGCTGTGAAGGGCATCCACGTTCTGGGTCACCAGCCAGTGCAGCTTGCCCAGCTTCTCCCAGTCTCTCAGTACTAGGTGCGCTTTGTTTGGCTGGTGGGAGGAGAACTGGGGCCAGCCCACGAAGTTCCTTGCCCAGTAGCGCTGCCGGGCACTGGCGCTGCGGACGAACTCAGCGTGCTGGACAGGCCGTCTGTCTGTCCTGGCGTAGAGCCCGACGCCCTCCGAGCGGTAATCGGGGATCCCTGACTCAGTGGAGATTCCAGCTCCAGTCATTACAAACAGCCTCTTGGAGTTAGAAACAAAACGCTGCAGCTCCTCCACTTCCACGGGGTCTGGGGGCAGACAGGCTGGCACGAAAGTCAAGTTTGGAGAGGCTCTGGATACAGAATGGGATCTGAAATGCTGCAGTCTGATGGCTCTGAAAGCTCCAGACCACTTCCTGGCAGGGAACATATTCAGCTAAAAGGCAAGAACAGAACACATAGCAGGTAAAAGAAAGCAAAAACCATGTCCTTAATGCTATTTGCTTGCAATTCTCTGGAAAATTAAGCCGTTAAGTATTCTTTGCTCTCCTTTTAGTAAAGAAACAAATTATTTTGGCAACATTAACTAAAACTCACCATCCAAGAACAAGTTATGTTCTTTTAGAAGAGAGGAACACCGAGTACAAAGTTAACAGCCCAGACTTGCAGGGTTCATGCTGTTCTACACTGGTGTGAAGGATGGCTGCCTAAAAGGACTTGTAAAAAGCCCAGAAAAACCTGTGCACGTGAAGTCTTTCCCAGGTGCGTGCAGCAGGCCAGAGAGGAAATGGCAGGAAGGCCAAGCACCTCTTCCCAGAGGCACTGACTGGTTCTTCCCCAGAAGATACCTTTGGTCTGCACTTATAAACATTCTGCTTGCTCCAAATCAGTCTTTTATATTTTCCCATCCTTTATATTTGCTGTAGGAAGGGAGAGAAAAACAACATTGAAATGTTGTTTTTTTCCTGACAAAGGCCTTGACTGGAGCTACCCTGCGTGGTGTGTTTTGTTTTTTTTCATTTTTTTTCAAAGGCCTCATGCAGAACAGGCCTTGAAATGGGACTGAAGATGATTAGGGCACTGCCTAAATGCCTCTGGCACATCCTCTTTTGTGGGTGCCACCTCCCCTGAGTCAGTGGGGAGCTGGAGGGGCACTGCTTTGCTTCTCCAGCAGACACAGGGGCTTTCTGAGAGAGAAGGGATCATCCAAAGTGTGTTGGGCAGAAGGCCTGGCAGGTAGGAATGGGAGAGACACTCTGCTTTAAGGGAGGAATGACATGCCCTGCTGAGGACAGGCAGGTTGAACGGCTTTGCTGTTAAGTAGCCTGGAATTGTGTGCAGGACCTGTTGAGACATGAGTGGATGGGTTTGGACTTTGATTTTGTTTGCGTTTTCCAGCAGTCTGCAATTCTTTCTCCATTTTGCTGTTTTAAAACTATATTTTCTGTGTCTCTCTATGGTTTTGCATACAATGTACAAAAAGCTTTGAAAGCAACAGTCCTGAAAACTGACTGGTACTTCTGCCTCCTTAAATCTCCCTGAGCAGGGGGGCTTGTACAAGATGTGGCAGATGGAGGAAGAACTTTATTTACTGATAAAAGGGAACAATCTCCTGAACACCTAAACTTCAGATGTATTTAAATATCGCTCCATTTACTGACCTAATACTAGGGGGCAAATGAGGGTTAGATACATCTGAAGTTTAGGTGTTCAGCTCCAAGCATTGCGATACTAAATTGATGCTAGTGGCAAAGAGTAGATTTGGCTCAGTTAGTCTTCAGTTCTTAAGGCTTTTTGTCATCAGCAGTTGAAATGCAGGGAAGATTGGACAGACTCCATAGTCTGAATTGCTTTCTGTATCTAAGCAGCGATTCTGTTTGCAATGATTTTTGCTTTGTTTTGCTGTTTAGCAGGAGTCGTGTTGGGCATTCCTGAGAAAGAGGTTTAATTTCCCATATGAATTAATTAGAAGGGACTAAATCTCCCAATGAACTAATTTGCTTTGTGAGTAACTTGTGTCATGATGCTCCCCAAAGGCTGTTAAGCCAGTTTGATGGTAATTAAATTGCTTTAGCTGATGAAAACTCTTCATTCTGGCCCCTTATCATCAAAACATCTCTCTGAAGGAAATGTTCAGAGAAAAATGAAATAGAAATGTAATAGGGGTTGGCCCACAAGAGAGTGAAAGCAAAAATTACAGATACATTTGAAAGCTGCTGTGAACCATGTAAAAACTATGGAAGAGAAAATGTTAAAGGCTGGAATATTTCTTGCCAAATACAAAGTCACTTTTAAAATGGAAGTGCTCAGATTAAAAAACAACAACAACAAACTACATAACAAGTGAAACTCTTTAAACGTACCTACGGAGATCTGAGGCTAGAGTTTGCTTTTAGCACACACCCAAGATGCTCCACAGGAAAAGATCAGGCAAGGTTAAGGGGGAAGATAAACAGGAGCCTACAAACGGCTACAGGCCAGAAACCCAAAGGGACTCCCGCGTCAAATGGACTCCCAGGTGTCTCTTGAGCTGTGATAGCGGCGGGGTGGCGGCCGAACCGAAGCGTGTCCCGCAGTGGCAGCGATGCGGTGAATAACGCGAACACTCACCTCTCATGGTGCCGCCGGAAGCGCCCGGCCGCCGAACGCCGGGCCGGAAGGGGAGCCCGCTGGGAAATGTAGTTCACGGGGATAAAAAACCACCCCTAAGCACAAAGACTACATCTCCCATGCGTCAAAGGGGGGGGAAAGGTGTTCCCAACATCCTAACACCTGAGACAATTAGAAACGGTGAGAGCTTCTTAGCGCCCTCAAGGAAATGTGTAAGGTTAAAATCCGAATTTATTTGTTACAAATGCATGTGATAGCTTTGATAAAATGCATTGTAGATGCTTGTGCTTAAAAAAATGCATTTTCTTTTAACTGATACGAACATATTTTAGGCTTAATATATGACTAAGTAAATAATGGAAGAAAAATACACTGAGGGCTGTGAAAGACAGCTCTTCTAGCTCGGGAATTAGGGCAGTGCCAACCTGTCTGCTGCCGACTCTGCATCCTGGCAGGAACCCATCGTGCCTCTCTGCTTGGTGCGTTTCAGTCTCAATAATCACCTGATAATTTGTACAGTTTGCCTGGCAATAAGGAGTTTGCGTTTGTTTTTGTTTTTTTTTTTTAATTTTTCTTCAAATGAGACAAATTTTTCTGAGGAACAAATAATATGAGGGAGGCCAGACTGCTGTGCAGTAGCAGCCTGGTGCACTGGATGCCCAGCAGTTTATGGACAACGGGCTCTTTCTAAAGATTTGGATTGCTTTTCAAATGCATTCACCAAAGAGCTCTTGCAGAAAGTTTTAATCCATTTATTTTTTGTGTCTTACAGTTGTTTCAAAGACCAGCGGAGTATCCGTGTAGCAGTTTGTAATTTTGTGATCCCAAGGAAGAAGCGCATCCTGCTCGCTCGGTCTGCAATGCCACCCTGTCCGTCCCTCTGCCCCTGAGCTTAGGAGTGCAAACTTCTTTTTGGCAGCGTCGTGAGTCTAAACGGGTTTCAGTGATTTATACTTCAGGACTTTAAACGTGTTTTAAACTGTTGCGTGATGACTTTTCCCCCTGGTGCTCCTAGAGACTGTTCCCCCCGCGTTCCTTACGCTGCCTCCCGACATGGAAAACGGCGATTTTTGGCCAATGCCCCCAACTCGAGCAGCGCTTCCCGGACGCTCATTACCATAGTGCCCTCCCGGCAACCTCCGCGGGTGCCGCCGGTGCCTGCGGTCCGCGGTCCATCTGTCCGTCTCCTCCCGGAGCATCCCCGGCGGGCGCGGCGCTGCGGGGCTGCGGGCGGGCCCGGCGGGCGGGGGGCACCGAGACCAGCCCCAGCCACTCTGAGCTAGGCGGGGGCTCGGCGGCCCCGGGCCCCGGAGGACGGTGGGGTCGGGTAGCCTTGCGCAGTGGCAGTATCGTAGCCGATGAGGTTGTTCCGAGGCGCGATTATTGCTAATTGAAAACTTTTCCCAATACCCCGCCATGACGACTTGAAATATAGTCGGCATTGGCAATTTTTGAGAGCCTCTTCGGAGGCGGATTTTATGTGGTTGAAAGGTAGATGAACAGCAAAAAAAAAAAAAAAAAAAAAAGCACAAAAAAAAGGGGCACTGAGGTGATGAGTTGCTCCATCACAAGTGGTATTTATCCAGCATCTGGGATTCTTCACTTTTCATGTCACTGATCATTTCCTTCTTCAGCACCTTTAAAAGACAGGAACCAAACTCTTATCTAAAAGCGCGCTCAGTTTATTAAACCCAGTCTTTTTTTGGAGCGGGTGGTGGGGATGCTCGGGAAGGACTAGTGCTGCTCTGGGGCTCAGCGGCGCTGTGGCCGCTCGGGGCTGCCCGGGGCTCGGCCCCGGGGGTGTCCGGGCTCGCCACGGCGGGGACGCGCGGAGGGTGCGCGGGGGCAGAGCGGCCCCGGCTCCGCGCTGCTCTGCGCCGTGACGTCACGCTCAATTTGCATATTGTCTCCCAGCAGCCTTCGCGGTGTACCGGGGGCCCGGAACGGAGGGCACAACGGAGCTCCCCGGTCCTGGTGGGGCTCGGGGGGACGCGGGGCGGGCGAGCGGCACCGCTGGGAAGGGCGCAGGGAGGAACGGGCGGGCCGTGCCTCTCGCCCCGAGCTCGGCGGCAGCCCCGGGCCGAGTGGAGGCGGCGGCGGGATAGCCTAGTCAGCTTTGCGCAGTGGCAGTATCGTAGCCAATGAGGTTAATCCGAGGCGCGATTATTGCTAATTGAAAACTTTTCCCAATACCCCGCCATGACGACTTGAAATATAGTCGGCATTGGCAATTTTTGACAGTCTCTACGGAGACTGAATATCTTGGTGAAAAATAGACTCGGAGTGCTATAATCTCTGGAACTTCCGTTGTAACCCTTCGGCGGATCTGTGTCTCGGGGCTGCCGGGGTTTATTACGAGGGATAATGCGGCTTTTGTTCGTTCAGCTCCGCTAGTATTTGCTGCCGCTAAAAACGGGGTTTAATAAAATGAGACCGCTTTTACATATAAAGCTGGTTTATTTTTCTCTCAAAGCTGCTGAAAAAGGAGCCGGTCAGTGAAAATGGAAGTGGAGGGGCTTAGGTGCTGGATCTGGAGTAGCTCTTGTTGAGCGGGATCCTTAGGAGAGCTTAGCCTCACAACAGGCAGAGAGGGACCTGCGGGGAGTGAAAGTCTGAATCGTGCTTCCCTAGCTGCTGAAGTCCTCCAAAACCTATTAGGGAACACTTAGTGTACTAAGTACTGTAAACTCCATTTTGTGTGCATTTCTTTATTGACATCACTTGCTTTAAGGAAAAAAAAAATAGGAAAAAGCTCCTTACTGTCAAAAAAATCACAAACCTTTACTGTGGAAAAAGCAGCTGCTTTTTTCACTCCTATTAAATAAGTAATTATAATTATTTTTAAACTCCTATTATATAAGTAAACCCCACCCTTTCCTAATTTGCAGCAATTTGATACCTAAGCAGACCCCACAGAGGGGAGACTAATGACCACTTGCACACAGCTCTGCTGAGGCTCTGCTGCAGCTGAAGCAGCTGCCCTCCATCATGTGCATGAATGAGATGTACATTCTGCTGCTGACAGCTTGCCTCTGACATTCTCTGTATGGGCAGAGGATCAGATCCACGTGTGCCATCTGGATGCTCCTGCCCTGCTGGTTAGACCCTGAGCTGGGCAGCTACTTGAAACTTTGGTAGAGTAGAAAATTTTGTAGTCAACATCAGTGTTTCCTCTTAGTAATTTTTTTAATTATTTTTTTTATGACATTCAGTCATGCTGGGGTCACAACAGTGACCAAGAGTGACAGTGAAACCTCATAGATTTTCTTCATCCCCCCCATTTGTTCCTATTGCCAGCAATATCAATTGCAACCAAACCCTGAAGCATGGGGATGCCATTACCCTTTGGCAGAATAAGCCACACTGGTAAATAGCAAAGACATATGTAGTTTGCAGTGAGTTAACACTTCAGGTAATTTCTTGCTTCTTATAAACTGTGTTGATAAGTATTGGGTTTATCACTTTATTAATTTTTCATCTTTGTTGCCAGGATTATCTGTGATAATGCCCAGGTGTGGTGCTTTCAATCTTCATTGCAAAGTCACGTCCTACATTTTATGTCAGAAACCAAATTTGTTCATTTTGCTCTAACAGATCTTTTCAACAAACATGAAGTTGGACCTCAAATGTCGGAGCTCCATCTTGTGATTTACTGCTATTGCCTGAAGTTTAAAGCTCTGATTGATTTTTTTTTTCCCTTGCATTCACCTGAAGAAAGAGCTAAATCCCCTTGCATGATGTTCACGTGGCACAGCACAGAGGGCATACACTGCAATGAGGGCATTGTCATTGCTCTGCAGTTTCAAGTCACTCTCTGGAAAGTGCAAAGGTAAGTTCTGAACACACCTCACAAACCAGTGTAGCTTTATTTCTCTTCTCTGACATAGATTGCAAATAATGATGCTTTTCTTTGGTGGTATTATGAAATGAGCTTGGATCACTCCTGTTTGGCAGCCAGTCTGAAATGGCAGACGACTGGTGGACAATTAATCCATGGACACTGAGGGTCTTGTGTGTGGTCAGTGGGTTAAGCTGCCTTCTGAGGGACTCAGTCTGTAACTGGTAAATGACTCTTCGACAAGAGGGAAAAATGCCTTGTGCAAGTACTCTGGACACAGATTGTGTGGAGTCGGGAATACTCTGAACACATTGTGTGGAGACAGGAAGCCCTAAAGTCCAACCTTTTGTTGATGTTGACTCACTGTCTAACTTCATTTCCAGTTCCCAGCCCTGTTTCCCATCAGCAAATGGGGGTGGTAACTTCTTGTTACATTTCTGTGAAAGACAAGGGTGAATCTTAATGTGTCTCAGCCACAGGGCACAGCGTAAGAGGAAGGTCTGTGTATTTCTAGCAGCAAGCAGTGTTCACGAGTCAGGGAGAGTCTGAGGCAGAGAGCAGGCAGATGATGAGGAAACAGGAGTTCAAGGCACTGGGAAGGACAGGGTAAGTTTAGCTTGAGACCACACCACTGAGAAATTGTCCTGGCAGCTGTGGTTTTCTGCCCCTACTCCTTCAGCTCTCACAGGAGGGTTAGGGACTGGCAATTTTAAGTAAAAAATGTCAGTGTGTGTGTGTTTGAAGAACTCAGTTATGAACAGCACCTGGCTATGAGCACGTTGGTTTTAAAAGCAGTATGCCTAGAGGATAGTATCACTTACGGGACAGCCCTGCCTTCCCACCTCATCAACCCTTCCAAAGCAGTGCTGAAGCTATAGACAAAGCTTTAGAAGCAATTACTTTATTTTTTTAATACTGAGCAGCTTGGACACAACCCATTTCTTGTGGGTGCAACCCTAACTGGTACTATGACAGCTTAATTTCAGCCCTGAGACACAATAGAAACTGCTTTCTTGATTTACATTCACTTCCAGACTCCCAAAGGACACCCTAGGAAGCTGAAAATAAAAACTGCATGCTGGGCTACAATAAGAACAGAGCACAGTAGGCATTTCATTTATGCAGAGGTAAAAATACAACC